ACAGTGAGGGAGTTGGAGGCACATGGTGGACGGAAATGAAAGATTTGTTATCCAAGGCTGACATGAGGATGTGAAAGAACACAGATCATAATAGATGTTTTGATCATCAGATCATCCTTTTTTTTCATATTGCTTTTTCTTGTTTTTTAAAGAACCAGGTTAGGTTCAGAAAAAGAAGCCAGCAACTGCTCAAAGGAGGCGATCGTGACTCCTACTAAGAGAGAGAAATGCACAGTGTAAATGTATAAAATATACAATATATATGCTGGAATCAATCAATCAAGTGTTTTAGTATCTTTAAACATAAAATCATTTTGTTAATTACATTGTTGCACTGTTAATCTAATACTGCTTTCCTACAAAATGTATCAAATAAAGGAAGTGGAGATAAGGTACATTAATTCCTTCTATAAAGTTGAACAGTAGATGTAAAATTAGTAGAACATGAAGTAAAGTATACCTCAAAATTGTATAGTGCTTTATTTAATGGACCAATGAATGGATTGCATGATATGTATTGTATTCCAGGCTTTTATCATAAACTAGATAACAGGATACATATGTTTATCTATTAATAGCAATGAGTGAGTGGATAGAGTGAGAAAAGGATGATAGCACTTCTTCCAATATCTCCGCAAGGGCTGCAATCACCTCCACCTCAAATCTAATTCATGTTCTCTTTGGGGATAAAATTGAGTACTGCGTGTTCACGTTTTGGTTTTAAAGTGTTCTCTTTTTCTGTTTTATTTGCTGCTTTTATTCATATTAGAAATATCTTAAATTGAATGTAATCCAGATCCAGATTTTAAGAATATATGTCCAAATCGCATGGTATGGAGTACAAACAACACAATATAACAGTTAGACTTAGACATACTTTATTGTCATTTGAACAAGACACTATTAAAACAAAATTTCGTTGTACTGGCTTACAGGAACAGGACAATATAAAAACTTGCTAAAATTGTACATATAAATAAATACTTTAAAGTGACGTGGTGCTGATAAAATTAAGGAGAAAGTGTGCGTTTAAAATATAAAGACTTACTATACATATAAATAAAATAGACATACAATACATCAACACCATGGAGAGAAAAAAGGTTTGCAGCTCGCTCTTGTGCTTTGACAGAAAAAAAGTAATCCCATTTACCCAAAATGGGGTGCACTCTGGGAAACCTGAAAAGCACATTTTACAGTAGCTATTTTTAACCATGGCAGATTCAATCAAAATGTTTTTTTTCTATCTATCCATCACCCATTTGTCATCCATTCACCCGATTATCCTGTTTGGCTCCAGACCTACACCTCCCCAATCTCAGCACACGCTATGGTTTGAAATATATCCGTTGCTAGTCACTAAACTAGCATCTAGATTATGGAGCACGAAAAATGGATTAGAAATACATTTGTAGATTAAAAATAAGGACTATGGCAGGAAGACCCTGCATAATAACCTTAGAACACATAGCACAAGTTTTTCTAAACTGCCTGTGGGTCATTAGAGCTGAAGTACACTTGGAGGATTGGGACATCTTGAGCGCTCAAAAGGATAAAGGTGCTTTTTGTTTTGTAACTCTATCTCTTCCTCATGTATTATCCCCTTACCCTTTTTAAAATTCGATAGCCAACAACAAGCTTCTGTAATTGGACCCAATGAGGCTAATTGTGCCTCAAAGATAAAGCCCCTTAGCATGTCATTGTTTCTCATGGGGTTTCTAGAACATTGAGAACTAACTTTAGGCACTTTGTCTACTTATCCTTTGTTGTATTATTTGCCATAAAGAGAATACTGACTCACTTAGTAAACATAAATATCTTTAAGTTATACTGCCATTTTGCTCATTGAAATTCTTTCCTCAGTTGTTGCTTGCTACTGTAAAAGCTACTAGAGTATAAAATTGCTCATAGTAGCCTTACACTAGATTGTCTTTCCACAGTTCACCTCATTAGTTCTTCCCCTCTCTGTCCCACTCACCTCCACTCTCTGTTATTGCTCTGCACCTTGCCAGTGTTTTTATCTCAAAGGCACATTTTTTCATCCGTTTGACAATCTCGCTCCGTCGCGCTCGCTCTCGTTACTCCTTGCTCATAATCCTCTCAAGCAAAATGTTCCTCCTCTGCAGTCAGTTATTCGTTTTATATGATAGGAAGTATCCCTTGTGTTCCGATAAGGGGATAGAAGAGGACAAA